TCAACCAATGTTTCTGAGTACCACCCTTCTCTTGCAAATGTTGTTAACCTGAAAACAAACTCTTTTCCCATAACCCACTGGAAGTTCTTCTGTTTCCTTGACCCACTCATGCCAAACCCCAGCTGACTTACCCAACACATCATGACTTCTGTTGTGTGTCAACTACACATCAACAGGATCATTCTTGATATATGATTCCACTGCAATCAGTGCAAACAAGAGTCTGGCATAGAGGAGGGACCCAATACAATCAAGATCAATTTAATGATTCCCTAGTGTGTGAGAGATGTTGGATCTGGCAATGCAGATGGTGGTATGAATAAGAAAGGGAAGGTCCTGACTCTCAAGGATCTCTGAATCTTCAGGGAAGTAGACGCCTTAGCAGACGCTCCCATGTCAGATGCTGTGGGGTGCGAGGAGGGCGCTATTCACAGTGGGTGAAGGGACAGGGCAAAGCGCAAGTCACCAGCACTTGGACAGAAGGCAAGGTGTCTAGGGTAGAGAGGGAACAGAGAGCCAACAGCTCCCATTGCTGTTTCCCAGGACTGAGGGGCTGGAAAGCAGAACACGATCCCCACTTTCTTTGAGGAGCCCTGGAGGAACTCAGGGTGCAGGCAGCAGCGGCAGCAAATGGTAAGAAGAAATGGTGGGAAGAAATCAGAAGAGCTTCACCCTGAGCCCTGGAAGAGTCCTTCCACCCATCACCCCATATCTTCCACCTGCTTGGCGGAGTCCCTTCCCTCCTAGGTCCCATGACCTCTGCTTCATTTGTCCTTTTGATGCCTCCCTGAAACCTGGAAAGTCTTATTCAGTGCTTCTAGCTCCTATAGACTCTTCCTCCATCTGCTCTGATATTAGCTCAGTGAGTCTCTCTGCTCTTAATCAGGAGGAATGTCACCAGTCAGTGGTGTCAGGCCCCAAGATACCCTGATTTCCCTTCCCTGCATTCTGCCCCAGGCCTGCCCACCCTCATCATCTTTGCCGTGCCTTGCCCAGTCTGTGCCCAGCACCTCCCCCATGATCTTAAGGCCAGGTGATGTGATGCAGGAGGCCCTCTGCAGCTTCCCTGACTAAACATGTCCACTCACTGGGAACTCATTGCCTCTGGAGTCAACTCTTTCTATTATGGCACAATTCAGTTATAAGAAACTTCTTCCCTGCATTAATGAGAAAGTTACTTTGCTGCAACTTCTATGCATTGGCCCTGGTCTGATCTTTAGGACCACTGTGAATAAGTCTAACTCATCTTCCACAGCTTCATGGCTAATCATGCAGACAACCAAGATTCAAGTCCCTGCTCTGCCATTCACTTGCTAGGTAGTGCTGGACCATTGATTTCCTTAACTTCCTCGGCCTCCATTTCCTCGTCTGGAAAATGGAGGTGAAAACAGCACTTACCTCATAAGAGTTATATCAAGATTGAGTGAATTAATAGATACAAAGCTCTTAAGATAGCAACTGACACATAATAAGTGCTTAGTAAATTCTATTATCTGAAGAGAGCTGTCTTATTTCCTGCTTTAGTCACTCCCTTTTTCCTTAACATCCTTTAAAAAATACACTTCACATAGCATGAATCCTACATCCCTCCAGCCTTTGTTTCTCTTCCATTTTAGTTTGATTCACACTCTCATGATGCCACCCCCACTGTAAAGTGGAGTCACTGCTCCACATGACCTGGAAGCTGTCCTTCTACTAATGTGGTGATGACTAACTTTGATGAAGCTGTATTACCCAGGGGCTCACGGTGACCTTGTGGCCAGCTCAAATCCCAGGGATGAGTGCTCCAAGAAGTTCTCCCTCATCTTCTACCTGTGCAAGTGCTCCAAGCTCCTCTGCACCCTCTAGACTTTCCAGGTATGCAATCTGTATGTTCTCATGTGTCTCCTCCTCCCTACTCCCTAGGCTCCATAGTGGCTCTTTACTTAAAGGGTGCCTAGTCTTAAAGCAGACCAGGTAATCTTCCTCTTCAATAACACCTTGCAAATTGAGCACACGATCATTGTAGGTTTTGCTTGAGTTGTGCCTGCTTATGGTGAACCTTTGCCTGTCTTCCTGTCCTCTGTGAAGCATTGACTTTAGCCTATGCAGGAGTAAGGTCTTATCCTTATTCTATCTATTCCTTCCACATGCTCAAGGCTCACAGGGCAGTGGTCTGGCCTGTGGTGTTTTCTATGTGTCTCACAGAGAGCAGGACATGAGCAAATACGTGATGTAGCACCTAGGAGGATCTTGTGGTCCTGCTGCTGCTTGTGAGTCTCTGTTTCCTCTCAGCTTCCCCACTTGGGGACATCCTGTTCCTCTGGCTGCTATGGATGAGGGCCCGACAGTCTGAAAGACGCCTGGCCAGGCAGGGAAGAAGTGAGTAGCTCTGACGCACCCTACTTCCCTCCCCTCTCCAAACTCTTGGCTATTTTTTTTCTTTATTTTCCTTCCTGTGTTGAAAGAGCTATGGGGCCTGGACCATGGTAGGGTTTCCTGGGGACATTCCATAAATTCCTCATGGGCTGTTTCTCTGGAGAGGGTGGGGGCAAGTGGCTGGGTAAATGGGAGGCCAGCGGGGAGCCCGGGTGTGAAATCAGGTACCTCAAAGGAGTGTGGGTGGAAAGGAAGGGTAAGCTGCATAGAGGAGGAAGGAGGGGTATAATGAGCTCATAGCAACAGTCAAAGAGAGGACAAGAACAGTGAGAAAGAGCAGGCAACTCACAGGTTGGCACAAGCTGTGGGTGACCACGCCCCCAGCCTTGCTCTTGAACCCACTGACTTGCTTCCACAGTGACTTGTCTGCTAGGGCTCCTGTAGGGCTCAGAGAACTTGGCCAGCCTGGGTGTGGCTTGGAAAGATGCCAAGGAGCCCCCTGCATGTGCTGTGTGAGATGCACAGAGATATGGAGAGGATCAGCACAGGGGTCCTTTGAAGACAGGGTCGTTGTTTCTTTATTCGTTCCCCATTCACTTCATGCATCCAGCCAATGCTCATCCCTAATTCAAATCCAGGGCTAAAGAGAGTGGAGATGGTAGCCTCTGGCTGAACTCTGTAGCAAGCCTGAGCCTGAAAATGATTCCTAGCCTCCATCCCTGGGCTCCACAGCTGCTTCTTTAAGTAAAAAGGGTGCCAAGTTGGGGGGTCAGGGCAAGAAGTGACTTGTCCTAGGTCTTTCTGAGTGAACAAGTCAAGTTTCTTCCCTAGGTCTCATTTTCCCTGCTGAGAAATGGGGGTATTGGGCAGCTATTAGGCTCTCTAAGATTTCTTATTTTTCAACCGTTTTGGAGCCCATCCCATGAGTGAGCACTTGGTGAAGCAACTCAGGAGGAAAGAGAGAATACGTATGAAGAAAGCATGATTTTCCTTGAATAGAACTTTCGAGAGAATGAAGAAGACAAGAGACTCACACAAATAGAATCTGTATCAGCAACCAACGTTGAGAGAAAAGGACAGTGGAAAGCTCTGATCACCAGCCCGTGGTGGCTCCTTAGAAAGGCTTGGTGCAATTTAGAAAAAGGTGGCCCCTCTGGGCAGAGGAACTAGGAAGAGAAAGATCCACTGGGCAGATGCCTAAACCACAGAGCAGATGGCAGGACAAGGAGAGCTCAGGCTGAAGTTCAACCCCCACGAGGCCTGTTGGCCCAATGCCGTGTACCAGAAGAAATTTTCCCAACTAGATGTTGTAACCCTGGCTGAGAAGGGAAGTGGCCAGCCTCAAGGGTCCAAGAGGAGCTGTGTCCAGTAGAATAGGCCACTTTTCGATCTTAGTGAACAAACAGGACAAGTCTTTCCTGTTCCCATTTTGAGAAAGCAAACCAAAGGACTAGGTTTATCCCCTCTGAAATGTCCTGGAACGTCAAGACAGGGTCCTCAGCCCCAGGCAGAGTAGAGCACACAGAATAAGAGTAAGTAGGGCCCTTTTCCAAGAACCAGAGAGCTCTGGAAGATTCGGACACGTTCTTGTCACCTTCTCTGGGGTGAAGCAGAACAAGCAGAACATGGAAATTCTTCCTCAGGCTCTCTCCCAGCCACCCTCCTTCCACATTCCAGACAGCAGCCCTCCCAGGTCTCTGAATGGGGATTAAGAGGAAGGAGCTCCAGGGGTAATGATGTCAACATCAAAAGGTGAGACACAGGAGGTTCTGCCTGTGCGCTGACCCACAGGTGCTGGGACTGAGGAGAGGTAGCRGGAGGTAAACTGGGAAAAGGGGATTAGCTAGGAGCGGAAAGAACGTAGCTGCTATAATCCCACATAATGAACCGGATTGTGCTCCCTGTCCGCGCCCTAAGCGCTAGACAAGCAGGTACATGCTCCTGGCTTCAGCTTGCTGCACCAGAGGACTCCCATGCTGCCAGCCTCAGACAGCCTGTTCCCTCCAGCTGGCAGAAGCACCCAAGGAGGCACGGGATGAAATGTCTACTTCCTCCAAACTGCTCAGATCTGAGTGAGGAGATGGGGAGGGAAAAGTCTACGACTGCAGGAAAAGACAGATGCATGGCCTCTCGCCTGGGCTTCACCCACCATCGGAGAGCAGCGACTGTCCTTAGCCCTAGCTCTTCAGAATTCAGACCCATAATGTGCTTCAATCAACTTCTTTCAGTCTGAAAATGCTCTTGACCAGCACAATCAATTCTACAGGTCCTAGCGAGGGGTTTATAATGTGGGTTATTCATAGCATACATACTAAAAAAAAAAAAAATCAGTTCTAGTTGATTTGAGAATGAGGAGTGATTTTTTTTTCCCTCCTTAGGCAAGGTACTGTCCCCATTTCTTGAGGTTTGGCAATACTGAAATATGTTTGTGTTCCCTAGCCATCCACTGACTGATGGCCAGAGGACACAGTCAGAAGATGAGCCACAAAATTGACCCCTGCCTATCTCCCTTTCTACCCTGTTTCCCCCAAGAAAATAAAGAGGTGTTTGTAGTTAAATCTTTGCCAACAGCCACCTTCCAGAAAAGACCCTCTGCTGAGGGGCGGAAGGGCATCAGAGCAGCCAGGCTCACAGACTCTTACCTTCTTCAGTTTGCCACTCTTGGTGCCCACAAAGACCACACTGTAGCCATTGTAAACGTAGGAGGCCACGGAGGTCATACGGTCCCGACTGGTGGTGTAGAGGGTCAGCCCCTCCACTGGAGTGGAGCCTCCGAGGGGCTGATTGATGTCCAGTCCACAGAAGTTGTCATCGATGGGGACCGGCTGGAAGGGAAAGGAGTTGGCATGAAGAACAGTGAAGGCATGGCGGAGTCACTTCAAATTATTCCCATTTTTAGTCGCCAGCCAGAGGCCACTCAGCCCCACACAGTCACAGGCATGGGGCTCCAGGCTGAAACACATGCTGCGAACCAAAGTTCTCCACCAACTGAACCACAAATCGCATGCCTGCTGGCTCTGGTGGCATCAGGTCATGAGCAGTCATCTTCATTCATCTGAGTCACCTGCACCCACCCTTCTGCCAGGAGAAGCAGGTTCTATTTGTAAAGTTTATTGCTTGAATTCATTTTCTTGTGATTTTAATGTCCCTGTGGACCATGTCATTCTGTGACACTCTTTCTATTTTAGAAAGGGTCTCCTCAGTGGACATTAATCCTTAAGGTAACATAAAAAAATTTCTACATCCTGGAGAGAGTTTCTCTCTCTCTCTCTCTCTCTTTCTCTTTCTCTCTCTTGAGAAAGCTCATGTTCCTTGAGACACATCTTGAACCACTCAACTCTCATTGCTATCTGCTACCCTGGGAATACTTGGCAACTTTCAAAAATAATATTGGACACCGCCTTCTACTTTGGAACAAAGTAATCAACCAAAGCCTTAGTTTCTTCATTTGAAATAATATCTTCCCATTTTTTTTCTGATAGAATGATGGAGGAACAAATGAAATAATGCATTTGAAAGAATTCTGCTAAGTTATATAACCATTCCCACTATTGTACATTATAGGTTAGTGTTTGGGAAACAAAATTTAAAGATAATTTTTCCTACCTCCAACCTTTTAAAGGGAGTGGTGGTGTGCTGGTATAAAGAGTATTTGTCGGGAGGGACTGGGTCATCTTTGAAAGATCACCTTCAGCAAGTAAAAAAAGAAAATCTGTGGGACACAAGTGGGGAGACCTGGATCCCTGTTCTACTGCTAACTGGCTGTGTCATCTCAGGTCAGCAGCATCCTATTTTGGAGGCATTAAAGGGACCATGAAATGAATGATTTTTAACATTTCTTTCAGATAAGGAATGAATGAATGAACGAATCAATCAATCAAAGAAGGAAAAGAGGCTGCGTGCTTCCTGAGGGCRGGGCTCATGGAAGAGTTTGCATTCTCTGAACCATGCCTGGCATGAACTGGGCCCTGATGGGTACCCTGAGACACCCCCCCCCCCCGCCGTTGTCTGCACCTCGTAGAATCTTATGGAAAGACTGCAGAATCTGGGTCTGAAAGAGGCCTGAATCTTGGGGCAGCTGCTTCTTCCGGGTCTGGAAAGGTGGAGGAAGAAAAGAGAAGAAAGAAAATGGCCATCTGGAGAAGCACAGAAAGCCTCAAGGAGATGCTTGCCCTGTATTCCCCTCAAACGCCTTTTCTCACCCTCACCAGGGAAGAGCGGCTGACACATCACTTGTTGACAGCCTCATTTCCTTGGAATAATTGGTTTATAAGCTACAGCATGTGATTTTTTTTTTTTAAGCCAGGGACTTCCCTTCCATTCTCTTCTCCATTCTCAAGGGAATAGAGACTTATTTATTTCTTGTGGTTCCTTGGTGTTTTGTAGAGATCAGCTGCTCTTGCTACTAGTAGGAACGATGGAGCAGTGGTGTATTCTTTAGAACAGGAAATCAGTTTTTAGGTTAAGCATGACCTTGAACTCTGGGCAAAATGGAGCCCCCACACAGCGGAAGGAATGAGCTTCCTGGGAAGAAGACGCAGCAGTGACATGCTGGTGACAGCTCACAAGAGATGACTGTGTGCATTTCTGCATTCGGTGCCATTGTGTTGGTGCTTGAAATCAGCCATGGTGGGAATATTTACACCATGGGAAACTGGCAAATGCTGCCAAMGAGGGCTTTTTCTCCCTGCTCTGCCTGCATAGAGCCAGTTATTTACTATTTACCAGCAWATCACTGGGCCAGTGATAGAAACTTCTAGCTCCCTACAAAGGCTGATGGTGTCATCAGTCACTACCTTTTACACTATCTTTTTCTCCTTCTCATCCTACACAGTAGGCAGTAGCTGCGCTGGTAAAAGTTAGCCGATCCACACTGTAGTCCTGTCTTTATTGCTACCCAGAGGCATGACCTTGATATTACATGTAGACTCTCAGCCTCAGTTTTCTCCTCTGTAAAGTACAAGGACTGGACCAGTGATCATCAAGCTTCCTTTCAGCTCCAAGTCCTTGATTTCATGACTTTGGCTTTTCTCCAGAAGCTTGTAAAACTACAGAGTCTGAGCACAGTTGTAACTATTGAGAAATAAGATACCGAAGCACCCTGGTAATTGTGGATTTCTTTACATTCTTCCTGACTCTAGAATCTCTAGCTTCGTAAATGAAATGGTTTGTACTGAGGCCAAACCCCTGGGATTGGCTGGCATTTCTTTCTCTCCTCTATTTCTTTCTCAACACATTGTTAGCTATTCCCAACCACCTGATGCTCCTTTACTTTTGCTCCAAATGGTGAGAGCCTGAAGTATGACTTTCCTTAGAGGCGGGGCRGCTAAACAGAGCTTGAACTCAGAAGTCATTTGGAAGGAACTGAATTCAAACTCCTGCTTTATTGTTTGGAGTTACATGGATTTAAGAAATTTGTGTAGACTATTGAGTCTTTGTTTTTCCATCTGAAAAATGGAGATGAGAATTCTTGCTTGGTAGGGTCATTGTAAAAATGAAGTGAGCTAACACCTAAGTGGCCCAGCACAGCCTTTAGCATATGGCTGTTATTCCACCAGTGACAATCCCTTTCCTCATACCTTTTCTGAAGGTAAAGCTCAAATTCTTGAACTGAAAGTTCTATGGTAGTTCAGAGATCATTTAAAGCTAAATTCTGGGATTACAGAATCTCTGGTTGATAATTATCCCCCTCAAAGACCACCAAAACACCTCTGGATCCCCAGTTCTGGGATGCTTTTGATAAGATAGACGTGTAAGGGGCACTTCCTCTTGMATACCTGCTGTTAAGGCCACACCCAGAAGGTATGACCCAGCAGCTGAGGGGTAGAAGGTGAGGGGCTATTCTCTCTGAGGTTTCTGGCCCCTCTGCTGTTACCTCTCTCCCACTGCCTTTGCTATCCTTTGGTCGCTAGCCCGGGCTTGTCTCTCTGCACCACCACTGGAGAAGAGCAGGGTGTCGTCTTCCTCTTTCCTCTGGCTCAGAAGCATGCAGGAATCAGCGGTTTCCTCCTGACAAGACCCACTCTGGATTATGGGAACCTGGCTGGACTCTGCATGGAATTAACCCTTGCATCTCCTGATAGGTTAGGGACATTGATCATAACGTTTCAGTTGGAGATTATCTGGTCCAGCTTCCTCATTTTATAAAAGTAAGATAAGAAAGCAAATAACTGGCTCTTTATTATTATGATTAGAATTAATAATCATAGCTGCCCCCTTGTTAAATAAATGCTCATTATGTACAAGGTATTGAACTGTGCATTTTATGGGCATTTTCTCTTTGATCCTCMTAATAACCATGAAAAGGGGGTAATATTATTTCTATTTTGAAGATAAAAAAAAAATTATGGCTCAGACCAGGTACCTAACTTGCCCAAGGTCACATAGGGCATAAGTGGTAAAAGTAATTTTTAATCTCGTCTGTTGGACTTCAAAGCCTATTGCCTTAACCCTTATCCTAGAGGATCGGCACATTAAGAGAGAAACAGAAGCCTAGCTGGGACCTGGTCTGTATTCTTTCTCCAGAAGTGGGTTTGGGGTGTAACAGCAGGCACCCTCAACTCCAAGTACTCAGAAGACAGTTATGTGCCTCAATCTCAGGTTATTTCCCCAGCAGTAGATGCAGAGGCCAAAGCCCTTTGCACAGAAAACTATTTTTTAGCACTTGACATACGCTCCAACTGTTAACTAACATGCCAGGCATGGTGTTAACGTTGTCATATATTTTCTCATCTGATCATCCCATGAGATGGACAACATGCTCCCCATTTCACAGATCAGAATCTAAAGATGTTAAAGTTACTTTTGAAGCAGGAAATAGAAGAKATAAGATTTGAACCTTGGTTTTGGTTACAGAAGCCCAAACCCTCGATCACTACATTTTGTCAGTCTCCTCCCCCCCTCTTTCTTTATCCCTTTCTCTCACTAGATTATGAGATCTGAGAGAGTGTTGATCATGTTTTTTTTTTTTTTTCCATGTTTGCATCTCCAGGACCTAGAACAGTGCCTGGAACTCAGATGAYTTTCAGTACCCTTTTGTTAAATGGACAGAAAGATGGTAGATGAATGAATGATAGAAGGGTATAGAGATGGAGAGAAGGGAGGTTACAGGAAGGGAGGGAAATAGGAGAGAYGGATGAATAGATGGATGGACAGATTAAGAGATTAAGGGAAGCAGAAAGGGAAGAGAAATGGAGAGATGGAGGATAGATGAATGAACAGAGAGAAAGGGAAGGGGGAATGGATGGATGCAGGGATAAGTGGATGGAAGGGATGGTGGATCCCTTTAATGGTAGCATCCTGACTCTCTGACAAGTGCTTTATTTATTTATTTATTTTTGTCTCTGATTTTCTTGTTTCTGCTGTCTTCATGTTTAAATCTTGAGGACAGCCTTCTCATCCTTTGCATGGATTCCTGATTTTTCTTTTTCAGTTTTCAAGCTATCTTCAAGTTTGATTTCTTTCCTTCTCCTCTGACTCAGCTACCCAATACCCCCTCACTTGGCCCCCACRGTGGCCTTATTGCCTGCATGTACACATGGGGTCTCATTCCCTCTGTCCAGCCTCACCTACTGCTTTCTCTTGCTTAGCTAATCTGGCTGCAGTGGCCTCCTTGCAAACACTCCAGACATGTCCTGAATTCTTTTACTTGCTGCCCCCTCTCTGGAACACTTTCCCCAATACTTGCATGTCTCCCTCTCTTCCCTTGCTCCATGTTTGCTGCAACACCATTCTCAGTGAGTCAATCCTCTCAGCTAATTACTTTCTCCCTCTCCCTTGTTTGATTTTTTTTTCCCCTACAGCAATGATCACCATTTCACAGACTGCAAATTTATGTGTTACATCTTGTTCTCTAGTAGGTAAGCTTCATGAGGGCAGGGAGCTTGATTGTGCGGTTCACCAAGCACATAAAACAGCACCTGGAATATACTTGGAATTATTTAATGAACTGACAAGTCCCAAGTATCTGGGGTAAGCAAGACCTTGGGTTATGGGTTTGATACTACTTGGTAATCTGAGCCTAACAATCTTTCTCATTTATAGTCCCTGGAAGTTTGAAAAAGGGGTGTGCAGAGGGACATGGAAAGCAAAGGCAGAGCCCCATGGTGAACAGTGGGGAGCAGAGGGGAGCGGGCACCTCCTTACCGCTTTGGTGCACTGCACATCTTTCCCCAGCAGCCAGTTGAGCTCCAAATTGCCCTCGCCCTGGTAGCAGGACTGCAGGCGCTCCTTGATCTGCAAGTTGATGGCCCGGATGGGGAAGGCACAGAGGGCGGAGTCATCAGGTGGATGGTGATACTGCTTCTGCCCTTTGGAGAAGATGGCGAAGAGCACATCATCCTGGCTGCTGATGTTGAAGGCCTGGGCTAGCGCATCCCCGGGCTTGGCGAGGTAAGCAGCCTGCAAGAGGCGGTATTCCACCCCTGCACGTGTGCAGCCGAAGGGCAGAGACACGTAGGAGTGGAACTTGGGGTCATCCTTGCAAAGACGCACGATACGGGAAGTGTAGAAGAGGTCCCCGGCGGAATTGATGGCCACACCCTCGGGGGTTTCGGGCTGGACAGTGAGAAAGTAGACGAAGCCCCCGCTGGCGAAGCCATAGATGTAGAAGATGTCAAAGTGGGAGACCAGGGCCAAGGTGTCAGAAGGGATCTTAATGAGGGAGGAGACGAAATCGCTGTGGAGCTCATAGTCCAGCATGGCCGAGGACTCAGGGTCCCGGGGCAGCTTCCGGCTGGACAGCGTGGGGAAGTAATCCTGCTTGCCGTCCACYGCCGTGCCGATGAAGAGCTTGCCATCTTCCCCCTCGGAGCGCACGATCACTCCGTACATGGTGCCTGTCTTGTTGACRCTGGACAAGTAGTGCTCCTTCTTGTGGGATGGCTCCACCAAGATGAAGAGGTCATCGAGACGCAGCAGCTTGCAGACGCCCTGGTAGAGGCTGCCACAGGCCAGCAGGCGGTTCTCGGAGTAGTCGATGATGAGCAGCTTGTTGACGTTGTTGGTGAGGGTGAGCACCTCGCTGCAGGGCTGCACAATCAGGGGCGGGTAGCAAGACTTGTTGTCCTCCTCCGGCCCTGTCTTGTGAGCCACCTGGATGGTCAGGTTGCCCGTTAGCTTGTAGACCCGGTTGATGGCCCCCACATACACCGCCCCTGTCCCGCGGTGCACAGTCATGTGGTTGAAGGTCCAGTCTCGGTTTTCCGAGTGGAAGGTGCTGAACTGAGGCATGCAGGCTGTTGGGGGGGCCAACAGCACCCAGACCACTGAGAGTAGGACCACAGACCGGCTGTCAATCTGTGGGGCCCATGGCCAGGGCCTCCTCTGTTCCATCCTGAGAGGGACAGGGTGGAGGAGACCACTCCTCCGTGTTCTTCTACTCCACTTTCCTGGCTTGGCCCTCACATGGTTCTGGAAAACACAAGGTAGAGTGAGTGGTCAGACTGACAATAAGTTGCAGGGGAAGTGAATTGGATTGCTTGACCCAGGGCCCCAGCCCTGGCTAGCTCTATGAGTCTCTTCCTTCTGTATGTCAGTTTTTCTATTTTTAACATACTTTTTCCCTCTTAGGGATGTTCAGGGAATCCTATTATCTATTTTGGTCTCCAGCCTTTATGCTGTAAAATACTTTTTTTTTTTTAAACTTTACAAAGCATCTCTATTTCTGTCCTCTGAAGACATCGTTTTATCTCTCAGAGAGGTTAAAAAACTGCTTAAGTTCACCCAGCCAGTCAATGCCCATGTCAAGACTGAAGCCAGTTTTCCCCACCCAATTGTCAGGTCTTACCTCAGGCGAGTAGACATCTCTCCTGGTTTTTAAAAGCTTGTTAGGAAGCCCTCCTCCCTCCTGTTCTCCTGAGAGTCCGATATCACAAATAAAATTCCTTCTTATTTCAGACTCCCATTGCCTCACACTGCTGTGCTTTTTTACTTTTACCCTGAGTGACGATGGTGCCCCTCGGCCTCTTCTCCAGAAAGAAGCACCCCAGATCTTTAGCTGTTAAAACTCGTTAGGAAAGGAAAATATGCTGTACCCAGTAAGACTGGGATTCTCATAAGTGCCATTCAGGAGCCTGAAAAGCCTTCAAGGGAAGGGTAGCCAACTCCCATCCCTTTGACTAGAGAATGTGCAGCCACTGCCTCCCAGGAGCCAGGTGGCCAGGTCCTGGGGACACTTTCAACTTCTCAGCAGGTGGAAACACGGGGAGCTGGTCTTGCTAAAGGGTCTGGCTATCTGGGTCCAGTTTCAGTCACCTGGGGTAGGAGCTCTGGGTTGAGAACATGCGAGGAGGAACAGAGAGAGGCAAGCTGAGATCAGTCTCATCCAGCCACACAGAGGCCTCCCAAGTGCTCAGGCATCCGTGAAATCAACACTGGGCCCCAGTGGCCATGCCCCAAGCCCTGTCTCCAGCCCTGACTGCTTGACTCCTGTCTGCATTCCAAGGAAGCTGCCCAGAGAGCTGGGTAGGGCTCCAGAAGACAGCCTGCAGAGACAGTCCCCCACCCCAGGCAAGAGGGTGGGAAGGCAGAGAGTGGAGCCAGTGGTGATCAAGCTCTTCCTGACTTTCAGGGAGAGGGACAGTAGCTACATGGCAGCAGCACCAGGAGGAGGAAGCAGTGAGCCGTCTGGCAGAGAGATCTTTTCTCCAGCTGGACAGATCACCCGGCAACCTCCTCAGACAAGTCCAGACAGAACTCTGGGCACAGGAGGAGGCAGGAATAGAAATGGTCAAGCAGGGGATGGAGGATTTGCTCTGAGGCAGCTTAGAAGAGCCCAATCTGTCCCTTCTACTCCGCAATCTGGCTGGACTGGGTTGTCATTAGAACAGACACCACTTTGAGAATCCCTACCAGTTTTTTCTGTATATATTTAGAAATTCCTCTTCCTGCTCCTCAACTTTGTATCCGAGACCTGGCGGCCACCATGGTGCCAAGGGAGGTCCCACCTAACTAACTGCTCCCTCTAACTAGACTCCACCGGGGTGTTTTGGGGTGACTCAGGAGGCCTCGTGCTTCCTTGGAAAGAGGAAGGCAGCAGGAGACTCAGGCTGACCTCAGCTACTCCGCCACAGCCCTTCCGGCCCCAAGCGCACGCACACACCACACCGGSAAAGGCTCCCAATAGACACAGCTTTCGGTTTGAAAACCAGAAGTTATTTTTAGCTATGTCCTGAGGCCGGTAGCAGGACGTGAATTCCTCAAGAGGAGCTGCGGAAAGGAAATAACAGAATCCTCAAATTCTCCMGCTGGACAGGGAATTGCAAGAGATGGTTCTTTGTAAATCTCTCTCCCTGGGTAGGAAAGTTTCTTTAGCTACAGGTGGAGAGTAGTGCCCCACCAGGAGTGGTGAGAAGGAGGCTAATTGTCAACACACTGTGCCTGGGGTTTTGCRTTCAGGAAAGAGCTCTTTGAAACACAATTGCACTGAATTTGTGCAAAGGATAATCCTGCTTTCTTCACAACATACATGCACATAGGTGTTTAGCTTGTGTGTGTGCAGGGGAGGGGTCCTGGTAGTAGAGCTAATATCAAAGAACATGTGTGAGGTTAAAATCAATCATCTCACCTCCCTTCAGAGTATCCTCTCAAGATATAGTTTAAATAGTGAGTGGCTTTTGTTGTTAGAATTGGGAACAAGTTTGGGACCTTGGGCAACTTGAGCCTCATCTCCCTTTCTGGTAGAATGGGGATAATTACAGTACCTAGCTCTCTGGACCCCATGAAAGTTAATGTGATAATGTGGAGAGAGCTTAGCATGGCTGCTGATACACAATGAGCACTTCACTCTTATTAGTTGTTATTATTATCATTGAAAGCTCCCARAGAAACAGCACTTTAGAAATCCTGCCAGAGCGCTCCTTCTCTTTTTGATTATATTTATTCTTCCTTCCCATGGGATGAGCATTATGAGTGGATCTTGGCTCCACACCCCTCCCTGACCAGTGTCAGAACTCAATTTGGGAAGCAGGTGGCAGGAAAAGGGAAGAGACTCAAGATGATCACCTCTGTCATACTACTTGCACCAGTCCCAATATAGCCTCTCCATGGACTTCAGGAGGGCTGGTGGAAGTGCAGGACCCTGTCAGCTGGACTGATAATGGGACACTTGGCTTGATGACTAGAAAGCATGGAGTCACAGGGCAGGAGGAAGACTGGAACCCTGAGTTAATCTGTGCCTGTTGTCATTCATGAATTGTACCAGTGGCTTTTAGACTGATCTACYATCTCCCTGAGCCCTATTTCTTGATCTTAAAACAGAGTATGTTGAATTAGTCAGCCTGTAAGATTTCTTCTTCCAGATGAAATGAGGACTTGAGGCCTGGTTCCTTCAGTGCCTGGAGTCTCAGATTCTGGTAGCAGCTACAGTCCTTCTCTCCTACCTGGTGAGGCTCATTAGGTTAGGTGTTCACAACAGATGGCTACAGTCTGCCCCTTTTCCTCTCACCCCCTCTAGCAGCATCTGTTCTGGGACACTCTGGTGCTGGTGACCAGCCAGGGAATGCATCCCACTGGGCCCAGTGACCACCCACTCTGGGACAGATGTTGCTCAACATAGAGTAGCCAAGAGGAGGGATGCTCTTGTGCTGTGGCAGGTGGAGGGGAGGTTTGCAACCCACCTTGTTGAGTATGAGCTTCACAAGGACAGTGATTGCAAGACCAAGAAAGAACCTCCTTATTACCATGCCAGAATTGATGTTATCAAGTGAGTCTTCTAAAACAAGGCTCCAGGGACAAGTGTCAGGCCTCCTGTGTGAGTTCAGAGTAAGTGAAAGGATGCCCACCTTAGTGTCTTTGATGCATGATGGTGTCACAGTTAAGTGCAGGAGCTCTGGATTTAGATGCTGAGATTCAAACAGAGCTATAGCTTTGTAAACGTGGTCAAGGTACTTGGCCATTCTGTGATGCCATCTCACTGCCTATCAAAATGGGTTTAGTACCAGCATCTGCCATGCAGGATTATTAGGATGAAATCAATGAACATCTATAAAGAGCTTAGAACAGTGCCCAACCCATTTTAAGTGTTCAGGMTATACTAGCTTTTATTATTAGCGAGTATGTGTTGATATTTCCAGTTCCTCTCCTCCATCCACCCCATGATCTGTCTTGGAATGAATTTCCATCCTCAGTTTGGTAAAAGCCAGGGAAAATATATCATGACCTCATGCACCTAGCATTTCCTCGTAACCCCTATTTTCTGCTAGCACCCGCCTCAGGGTTTTCTTTTTAATAACAATGCCCTCTTCTATCACATCTTCTCTCTCGGTTTAGCTTATGAAGTCACTTGTCACATGCATTCTCAAGAGCTGAAACTGGCCTAGCTTCTGTTTTTCTATCAACTTCCCTCTCCCCCACGGCCATTCTCAAACCAGGACATGCTGCTTTGGGACTCTCACCTTATCTGCAGAGCCTCCCATTACATCTTAGAGTGCTCCCCATGCCAAGGAGAAGGCATGTTTGCCTCTTTGGGAAGCAAAAGCCATTAAATATTTTATTGGGAGGGCCTGATGACACCATCTCCCTCTCAGGATCCAGGAGGTAGGTGTTGGTGACAGCCAGTGAAGCCATCTGATCCCTTCCTGATCAGCTGCTGCAGGCATCAGGGGCAAAGCACAGGGGAAATGACAACCAGCCATTTGCAGTTCAGCTCAATAGAAGGTTCTCTCTGCCACCTGTTCTGAAGCTTTTCAGAAGGTCTAGGTGTTGGTGCTCCACGTTTTATTCATTGGGAATGGAGCTGGGGGCAGAGTAGGGCTCAGAGTTGGATACAGTTCTGCCAGATTGAGCTACAAGTTCAGATTAGTAGATCTCACACCTTGGGCCCCACCTGTAGACCCACCATCACCACTCCCTCCATTGCCATCACTGCTGTCACCACCATCATCTTCTCCAGCACCATCCTATTACTGAGGGTTTTCAAAATGGTAGCAGTAAATGGTGCCGATTACTATTATTGCACTTATGGGTGGGGCCCAAAGCCAGGATCCTGAGGAGCCAGATGGAGATGGGGAAAACTCAGCATGAAAATGAGGGCTGAGAGATCAGAGAAGAGTTGGAAGCTGCTCCTGGAACCCACCGGACCTCCTGCTTCTCTGTGGCACAGGGAAGTCCATCCTCTTCCTGGCTCGCCTTTCTAACTAGCTGTGCCTCTGAGCAGGACTTTGGGGGTGGGTGCTGGATGGTTAGGAGATTACTCTAACTCACCACTTTTATTTTTTCAGATGAGGAAATCAAAGTCTGTAGAAAGAAAAATCAATTGTTCAAGGTGACTCAGAATGAGTCAGGGACAAGTTGCAATCAGAACCCAGACCTTTGTGACAAGAAATCTGGGACTTACTTCCTAGGTGGAAGGGTCTTGGGAGGTGGCTGTCCTGTTAGGGCAAAAAAAGGTGCCTTTGATGGTGGCTCCAAAT